AAATAAATAAATAAATAAATAAATATGAAATTACACTTATTTTTATTCAGAAATTCAATAGCCAAACTGAACTATACTTGCATTGATCTTTGCAATCAATTTGACTGTAAAATATTTTAGTTTTGTAAACTATTTGATCTGGTAACATATTCATATTAAATTGTTGCACCTCCCTATAATATTTTCATAAATCACACCAGTAAGGAAATTGGATATTTATCGCTGGTCAATTTTTTTCCTCTTTCAGAATTGTAATGGAAGCTGATTCATCTGCACTTGTTCAGAGAGTAGCTCTGCGAACAGATGACATTCCTCTTGGAGAGCAGACTGTGGCTCAGGTATGATAATTCACCTTGATATTGTTTAAATCTAGCACTATGGCCCTGGGGTCTACTCAGCCTCTAACAGAAATGAGTAGGAATCTTCCTGGGGATAAAGGGCAGTTGGTGCGTAAGGCTGACAACCTCACTGCCATCTGTGAGCCAGTTGTCTAGAAAAATATGGGATCCTCGACTTCTCACAACCGTATGGACCTCCACAGCCTGATACATATGTAGCTTTATGTTGTTTGCCTTTTAGTAGTATTACTTAATGGTCAGTCTTTGATGTACACCAAGAAGGGGGGAATGAATTCTGGCTTGAAGTGTGTTCATGTGCTTGCTTGAATGAGTAATTATTCTTTTAAGATGTATGCCTCGTCTGTTCTACAAATTATCTGCTGCCTGAAGGAAAGCTGTTAGTTTTATGCAAAATTTGAGGCTTTCACAGTAGTTACAAAGATTACTGTCTTCTGTGAGATCTGACGCTGTAGTAAGGTAGACGCTGTGTAGTTGGAACATGCACCTTTCCATCTTCACGGTAGAAGTATAGGAAGAAGAGGAGGAGGTAAGACATTCATCTGAAATGTCAGTATTAGTCTATAAGACTACATGGCATCCTACCTGAGAATATAGTAAGATGTTGTTTTTGTTTTAATTTGGGTGGCAGGTGGGGTATAAGTACGATGGGATACCCAAAAGAAACCGAACTAATTTTTTTGTGGGCAGAGCTTTTGTAGTACCGCGTTTTGCTGCTATGAGCGCATAGAGCTAACATTCCTGAGTCGATAAGCTGACTACCGTTGCTTCAGAGGGTAAGGACTAGTTTCGGCACAGTTTATAGTGACAACTGTTTTGTGTGATCGTCGTTTTTGCAATGGCTGATTTTCGTGAACAGCGTGCGGCGGTGAAATTCTGCTTTTTGCTCGGGAAAAGTGGAACAGAAACTCTTGAAATGTTAAAAACGGCGTACAAGGACGATGCTATGGGGAAAACTCAAGTGTTTGAGTGGTTTTCCCGTTTCAAAAATGGTGAAATGTCAATTGATGACAAACCTCGTTCTGGTCGTCCTTCCACGGCCCGAACACATGAAAATGTTGAAAAAATTCGTGAAATCATCAAGGAAGATCGATGACGGACCATTAAAGAAATTGTGGAGCTCTCGGGAGTGACTTGGAGCTCAGTTCAGTGAATTTTGACAGAAGATTTGGGAATGAAAAGGGTGGCTGCGAAATTCGTGCCACGACTGCTGACTGCTGAACAAAAAACAAGGTCATGTGGAAGCATGCTGTGCTCTGAAAGAAGAGCCCTGAAATGATCAAAACTTTTTTTTGTTTCCTCGAATGAAAAGAGACATGAAAGGAGAAAATGACGGAGGCGCTGTCAAGCATCTCTAAAGATGAATTTAGACAATGTTTTGAAAAATGGAATAAAAGACTAGACAAGTGTATTAGTGTAAGTGGAGAGTACTTTGAAGGGGATTGAAGGTTTGTGCTTAAAATTTGAATAAATAAGTTTAAAAAAAATAAGTTCGGTTTCTTTTGGGTACCCCCTCGTATATCAGCCACATTCCATATTTGTTAATCATTGGTAAATTGAAGGACCCAGAAATGATTTCTGAGTAGAGGGATGTGATGGTCCTGCTCCCCCACATACACACCCACATAAAGCAGAAATGGTATATATTACTTTTATTTTGGCGCTTGGTGTTTATGGCTCATAAGTGTAGTAGAAACATTCACTTGAAGCAGCTGCATGTTCAGTGCAGTAGTGGATGCAAGCAGAATGCAAGAGGATATCAACAGCATTAAGATTATGGTTACACTGATCTGGTGTGAAGCAAGTGTTTCATGCCATACTCTTGATTAACAAGTAGTCTTCTACAGTGTGGTTTCCTAAACTCATGTTTGTTGGTACACGCATGCAGAGTTTCAGCCTGAAGATTGAGACATACAGTGCAACATTACTTGTTCAACTTTTACTTTTGATACGTTTGCTGGTGCTTGTCAGTTGTGTGTCAGCATGCATACTGATGCATTCCAGGTGAAAAGACTCCTCCCCCCCCCCTCCAATTCAGAAAAAAATGAGTGAATCAAATAATTTTTTTACCATAGGAGGAGAATATTTTGGCATAAGAGGGACGAAGTCACAAGGGACCAGATATTTGTCTTATGCTTACTCTTAATAAATATTATTACTGTGATCAGAATGAGAAGGATGAGATGGCCAGGGAATGTAGCATGCATTTGAAATATGAGAAATGTATAACATGGTAATGAGCTTTCAGGTTCCGTTGGTCATAAGTGTGTAAATTTGTAATGCATTTAATTCAGTTAATTTGGGTAATTTGAGTGAAGTTGTATTAATTTTAAGTTTTTATAGTAATGTTCTTTTTAAATTATGTTTATTAATTATAATTGTAATAAGTTTTTTTTTTGTTCTATTATCTATGTTGGTTGACTAGTGTGTGTGATTTTGGTTGTGTGACTTATGTAATTTATTATATGTATACATCTATTATCAAAGGGACTATTTCCACATCCTGGGTTGGTGGCTGCTATGGATATATGGAAAATAAAGGAAATGAATGAATGAATGAATGAATGAATATATGGGGATTTTACTGAGAAGCTGAATGACTGTTAGCTACTGAAGAACTCTGTTTTATAGAGTCCAGGAGACAAAGTTCATTGAATGATGGGGTCCCACCAGGCAGTGCTAGAAAATAGGCCATGACTGCTCTCGTCCGTATACTTCTTGGCCATTCATAATCAGTTATTTCCCGTTTGATGCCAGTTCACGAATGCAAACCAAGAAAGAAAAAAATTCTCTGTATTGTATTCTCTGGTGGTAGGTAATATGAATTGTTCTTATTTCCAGGTATTGCAGTCTGCAAAGGAGCAACTGAAATGGTCACTTCTGAAGTGATACTTATGACTGGGCCATGGACACTAACACTCCTCATTCCTACTTGAATTTGTGGCAACCTGTAGAGGCATATTTTATTTGTATTGTAACCCTTCAGAATGTAGCAATTTAAAGTATGTCAGATGTGATAAGGCAGTTATGTTGATGTTTGATATTGTTACACTTTTCTATAAGACGTCCAAGTTCCATCATCATCATCATGTATGTATGTAAAAATAGAAAGGTGAAATATGGTAAAATTATATGGAATAAATTTTTAAGAAAATGTTAAATTTGTGTGATTTAGTCATCAGTTTGGAGCTTCATAAAGTAAAATATACAATGGAAAATATTTTACTGAGACAAGTAGTGTTCCAGAAAGGCAAAATTGTGTTTGTGGTACAACTGTGGTGTACAAGACTGTTAGACGCCATATCAGTATCTGTTCTGTCATGCATATGTTTTTGCTTGACATATTCTTTGAAGTTTGTAGAAGAACCTATACCCAGTCCTAAAAGTGGATTTCATCTTGATATCCTTGAAAGCGCTGTAGAATGAAAGGGGACAGATGCAACATGAATTGTGAGATTAAACTGGATGTGCAGAAAGGTGACCATGGTAAGCAGCATGGCCATTAATATTATCTTCCCATCTCGGCCTAGGTCTTCCAAATAACTGCTTCCCTTCAGGTTTTGTGGCCCTATTTTCACATAATCTTATAGAACATCAAATATAAATTTTTATCAGATGCAAGAGGTAAGGTCCTCCAGAGTTAAAAAAATCAAATCAGTCTGTGGCAATTTAAATCTTTTAATAACCTTTAATACTTGGAAAGAGGGGATTTAGATTAACCTTTTAAAGTAATTGACAGCACTGCTTTAACAGTCAGTAACTGCACTTTGATCACAGGATGTATCTGTGGGCTTTGTGTGATTCCCAGAGTAAGCATTGACTTTTCCCCTAACACCATTAACACAGTTTGTCTTTGTAATGGAGACGTATCACATGTACTGTGATGTAGAAACTGAATTTGTGTAAATTATTTGAACTTTGTGCTTCAAAGGGTTAGTAATGTGCTATAAGAGAAGACTGAAAGAAGAAATGTGTAAAGAATTCTACTTAAATATTACAAAGTGAAGACAGTAACCAAGCAGACAGTGAGTACAACTTATAACAATGAAGTAACAGCCATAGAGGTGTGATTCCTGAAATCCATAACAGATTACATTCATCTTGATAAGAATGATGATATTCAACACTACTTACAGATACTTAATTTAAACTATAATTGACTATAGAATACACATTAGATGATTGGATAATGTGTTTCAAATCCCCTGGAATTAGGAACCATGACTAATAAGAGATGGAACCAGAGAAAGCTGAATTGTTACGTGATGTGTGAAGCTAAGTAACTACGGTAGCTTACGTATACACAGCTTGTTCATGTGCTGAGGCTGAAGGGCAGTTCACCATCTCCTGTTGTAACAACCCATTTCATAGAAAAACCATTGAGCCCCAAAATTTTGTTAATTTTCTGACATGGGCAGAATACTTGTTACAACTGGGATGCTTCTTATTCCTGTTTTGCACTAGGTTTTGCTATCAAGTTGCCTGTTGCTATAAAAATTCTGACCTTACTCTCTTGAGAGCTTTCTTTTACAATAGTACCTCAGAGTAAAGACATGTTCTTAACATTAAATGATTAATAAATTGCCGGGTACATTTGTCTAAATTATATTTTAACCTGCTTCCTACTCCGTGTGGGGTATCTGTAAGAGATTAAAGAGTTCTGCCTGTCATCTTTTGTGTTTTCCAAAATTTTGTTGTCTACACACTTAATTGTTCCCTCATGATGAAACTTCTGGCATTTTATTCCTTAACTTTGAGATCTGTACTAGCCTGTGATAATGTAAGTTTATACTGACATCTAATAAATTTAGTCTGTTTTACAATTTTTCTTCTGATATGTGCTTAAAATTGCAATTATAACAATTTTGATGTCCATATCAAAAATGTTTTTTTTAGCTAGTAGTTCAGTGAACTCGTAGTAGTTTGTTTTAATTTTAATATGGGCTAGCTGAGCAACTGTAGTGACTAGCTGGGTGACTGGCATTTGAGACCTGGCAGCAGTAGGAACTTTTCTCTTTGGCCCTGTATTCAGACCATGTCTGGGTGTCATCCAGCCTCTAATCCAATGGCTACCAGGAGCTTTTCCACATGAGTAAGGTGACTGGAGCGTGAATCTGACCACTGAACCCTTTAGTACTAAGATTAAGAATGTGTAATGCTGTATTTCCATTCCATCATACAACTTCATGGCATGTTGCTTACTTAATTATAATTTTAAAATGTGGTTCCTCCCATAAGGACAATATACAGTTGGGTTTAATAAGAGCTTATCTAATCAGGAATCCATTATTTCATTATGAAAGTATCCACTGATAATAAAAATGGAGATAAAATATTTTCCATATGTAGATGTATTTGCAGATTAAACAATGCTGTGATTTTATTGGGAACCGTACAGGCCCTGCTGTCATACCTGTTAATTTCCTGGTGGTGACATAATGTTGCAGTCTATCTACATAGCCCTCAGACCATGTACTTGCATTGTAGTGTCTTAATACAACTGACCTTGAGATGTTTTCCTCAGATTGCCACTGTTGGGTGTGTTACGTGTGGCAGCACTATACATTCTTTGTATAGTCAATAAAAGAAACATAATGGATGATATGTGCTAGTCCACATGCTTGATCACAACCTACTGAAAAAAACAGTATTGAATTTGATTTTGAGACTACACCAAAGTTCATCCGACAGATTTAATTTTGGTTCACTGTGGACCAATATAACTTGTGCTTTAATAGGTAACTCATTCAGTATAACACCTAGTCTAAGGACTGGTTGACTCAGATTCAGTTCCCAGTGGGGCAAGAGGTCTTCACAGCATCCAGACCACATGTGGGTCCCACCCAGCCTCCTATCCGGTTGGCAACTACAGTCTTCCCACAGAAGTAAAGCTGCGCGGTGCATGAAGCTCACCATCTACCTCAACCTAGTGCTAAGGTTAGGAATGCATGGAGCAATACCTACACTATTTCATATTTGTCATCCTGATGTTCTTAATTAAGCTGGGATAACTTCATCTTACTTTGTAAGAAGTTCAAATCAGATGTTTCTAATTTTCTTTTATAAATATGAGGACTATGATCTTTTGGTATTTGCTAGAAGAAAATACCAGAATTCCACCACTGTTGATGAGGAGGAACCATTTCAAAGTAAGTGGTCTTGGAACAAAAAAATATGGTGATTGGTGCAGATAGGGCCCAAAACAAAAAAATGATTGTGCTGGCAAAGGCCAGTAGCAAATAACTGCTGTGCTCTGCTCTGAGCTGCAGTTAGGCACCAACCTCATTGTTCTTGCAGTTCATATCTCTCAGTCTTTGTATGTCTTAAGAAATATCTTCTAAGTAATGTATTTCTGAATACTCTGCTCCATTATTCCTTACTTGATATCCTGCAAGTTATTTTGGTTATTCTCCTGTTCTTTCTGTGTGTATAAAACCACAACATTTTATTCCCATTCATCAGCAAAATGTCTTCTGTTACTTCCATTACGTTTCTGTTTCATTGTACATCTGATTTTTCATACTTAGTAACAACTATATCCTAATATAATCAATTTTTTATAACTCAGATCTTTGGTGAGGGCTCCAATTGTCACATAGCCCTTGTAGACTGCAGATGGTCTAGTGCCATGAACCACTCTTCATCTGTGTGAGAATGAAGTCATCTTTGGCAACTTGTCTTATCTCCATCTGATAATGTGTCTATCACATGAAGGTGAACCCCTGTACCTGAGAGATAAGATGTCTGTTGGCATGTATTGTACTCCTTTGCCACTAGTGTTTCTTGCGTGGTGAACATTTATTAATGTGCTGTAGAAGCTGAACTTAGGTAAGATGAATGTGCAGAGGGTGGTCATAAAAATTAATGTGGAGGATAAATTAAATTATCAAGCAGTGCTAACAATTATTCATTTGTCATATGTCCATTATAAGCGGTGGTTATAAGTTGAAAGCTTTTCAGATTTACTACACTAGTTTCAAAAATCTTAACAGATGTAGTCTACACAGAACTTAAATTGTAACAATCGAAAGCAGGGTATTAAAATTGAAGGTAATAGAACATGTTTTAAAACCGAAGCCTTGCAGTATGGGATGATATGAGCTGAGATGTAAATGAAGGGGTGATGTGGCAGTTGGTTAGTGACTTAGTCAGTAAGCGATCACAATGTTTACTCCACTGTATATAATGAAACACCCCATTTAAACATTCAAGAATGGTTGCATATGCACTCCAGAGCTATCTTTTCATTAAAATAAAATTTTATTTCGTTTCTGAAAAATTTCTCAACATAATGTATGCCCATGACATAAAATATTTGTTTGTAACTTCATTGGAAGCAGCTTTTAATTTAATGTATGTTAATTAGGTACATGTAACAGTTCAGCTAATTCATCAAGTAAAGTCCCTGTACTGATCAGACAATTGCACCCAAATTTATATTTCACTGATTTTCAATGAATAAGTCTCCCACATAAAATTAAATCAAAATGTAACAAATTATTCAGGAGCTGAGAAATGGGCAGATGATAAAACATTCTTAATTCTGGGTGTTCTTTACACATAGCGCATATAATTAATACATTGTGGGGAGGCCCAGTTTGTCCATTCCTTTTGATGAAATATAATACTAAAAGTTCTTGTGTAAATTTCATTCTGGTTGTATTGTTATGACCCAAACCATATTGTTCATAAGGCTCAAACTGAAGTTCTTGAATTTTCTCAAAAAACACTACATGGAGCAAAGAATAGATACATGACAATATACAGACATATATATTCTTGTATATAATATATGTATGTATAATATATATATATATATAATCAATATGATTTATACTTGCCAAATTCTATGAAAATTTGTCTGTCTGAAGTGTGATATCTGTACTACTTGTCAGGTCTGTGGAAAACAGAATTTACAGCTCTATGCTTTGTGGCATCCATTAACTTTGTAGTCTCCAACAAAAAAAAAATGATGAGCAAGATCACAGTGATGACTTCTGGAGTACAGCTTTCTACTTATGTTTATTTAAATAAAGATGCCTAAAAGTACTTTATAATATGTGAGATTTAATGTTCTTATGGCAGTGACTATGAAGAATACAGTCTTCTGGGAAGTGAGAGTCTAGTAGGAGTTTACTGACCTTTCGGAAGCAGTATAAAATAGAGAGACATTATGATAATGTGCTATTTAGTCTGGTACAATTTCACACAAGATTATAGAGAACTGAGAGGCAGCCTTTTCTTTCTATGGAAGGAGCGCGAAAGAGTTTGCATTGACTACTTGCTCATGAAGGTGCTGGCTGTGGACATGCTAGGTCATGTTGTTTAAATAGATTAATTAATTTGAACTCAGATCACAAACATAGGAATAGTTAAATAGTTAAACCATCTGTTGTTCAGTTATATTGTAGAAATAATGTAAGTACCATATTTCACAGCTGTATCTGTAACTGTGTTAAATTTATTTTAAATTCATTTGTCATCACATTATAAACTTGATACCACAGTAGTTACTATAGGATTCTGACGATGGTGTATAACACACAGAGATATTCGGTTTTTGGACTTTATCCATCGTCCTGGTTTTTGAGATAACTAAGAAAAAACATGACGTTTTGGAAACTGGATCTGTTTCCGTCCTCAGGTGTCATGTTTTTTCTTAGTTATCTTAAAAACCAGGACGATGGATAACGTCCCAAAACACAATATCTCTGTGTTTGATACCACAGTTTAACTAATATCCAAAGTGGAATTTTAAGCCTTTAACTGGTGAGCATTTCTTAGCTCATTAACTCCTTTATGCTGGGTTCTTAAAATTAGTGTAAGGTACAGACTAGAATATCTTCAGAGAAGAAATGTGCTATGGCCTACACTAGCTTAGAATATTCATGGCATAGCAGTCAAAGGGTTGGCTGATGGCATAGGTCATATAAACAGATGTTGCAAAACAAATACAAGAAATCAAATGATGATGAAGTGGAACCCCATTTAATGCTAATTTTTCCTGACTGTAGTGTTCAAATCCAGTAATTCTGAAAGAAAACTTAAATGGGGGTTTGATTCTACTAATCACTCTACTTGAGCAATGGTAAACAGAACTTAGAACTGAGGCCATGTTCTAATTTTATCTGTAATGCCAGTAAATTGTTGAACGTTTTATTTATACATATGCTAATATCAGGCTGTGAAACTTCAGTACTAGTGCACTGCATCATAATAGTGAACCTACTGTGTGACCACAATAAAAGGCAAAATAGTTAACCCATCATTCAGATGCAGTGGACCTTCATGTTGCATTTTATGGTCACTTAAAAGAAGGTTGTCATGCCACACAGCCTTGCCATTTAGAGACAAAAAGGTTAAAGTGATTTTTAAATTTGTTTTGTTTCATTTTGGTCCGTCACACTAACAATATCATGAAAAGTTAAACAGTTCCATCCAGTGTGACTGGTGAAGATTATTCTTATTTCAATTATTTATGCCCTTACATATTTCGGTCTTCAGAGACCATCATCAGAGGGACACCTTTACATCAATACAGTTGGAGGCTACTATTACAATATATATTGTATGTATTGTATGTTCTGAAAGTTAAAATGTATACATATAAAATAATGTATACAATTGGGTATAAAATCTTAAGTCTTTGCGACTACAGCGGCTGCTCCAATAGTTTAAAATATTTATAATTGGTTTGTTAAGACTCTATTTGAATTTGTAAACCAAGAAGGTTTGTGTCGTCCCTCTTATTATTTGTTTTGACTGGGGCCGAATGTGTGCCACCTTGTCTTTCTCGAGAAGAGGGTTCTTTGATGTTGTCCTGTATGTGTTTGTGGCGCGCTGTGTTGTTTTTTTATTTGATTTTTAAACTTTTTGTTGTGTAGTACTTATATCTGTCACAGTTTCACAGAAGGAACTTCCTCAACAATGGGCTGCTTTAAGGGGTCTGATCCTGAGAAAGAGAATCAGGAGAGAATAAGTCGGGTGCTGGAACAGAAAATCGTTGCTTGGAGCAAGGAGTACAAGAAGGCAATCAAGCTGCTGCTGCTGGGTATGACAAGCTGTTGACAGTACTCATGCATTAGGATTAGATACTTGAAGAAGTTAATTGGCTTTATTTTCATATTGTCAATTTTTTGTTTGCAGGCGCTGGGGAATCTGGCAAAACAACAATTATAAAACAAATGAAGATTCTGCACATCAATGGATTCTCAGAAAGGTATATTACATTCTTAATGAAACCTGTTTAAATTCACAGTGTGCTGATGTTATTGCACCAGTTAATGTAAGTACCTTTCATACTCGTACAGTATGTTTCAGTATGTCAGTCACAGTGAGAGACAATTAATTTTGCTGCTTTACTTTGATAGTTAAGCAAAGGATTCATTTCATTCCACCATAATGGTGTTTTAGTTATTCCAGTTTGAGAACATTTGGACCTAAAGAGAAGAATTTTGAGGGGCTGAAGAAAATTTCGTAATGACAGGTTTCGTATTTGCTATATGACATGAACACCGTCCCAAGTGCAACAGTTTATTGTAGTACTTTTGTCTTGCCCTCTTCTACACTACATGTTTCAGCCGCAAACGGCCATCATCAGGTGTATACACTTACGTAGCTGTTACACTGCACTTAATTTAAAATTTAAAACCACGAGTCTTCCCAATCGTTCTTTTTATCGTTACTAACAGGTTTCGATTTACTAGAATCCACTTTGCTGATATTTGTCTGATTTGTGCATTATCTTTGTTACCTACACTCGTCAATTTTGATTATTATGAACTGGCACTTTTAAAATCTTCAGTTCTAATTTAAAAATTCTTTTAAAATTAAAATTCTCAGGGTTACTTGCCCTATGTCTGTAGTGCTGCAGCGGCTACTCCTTGTTTTCAGCACTGTTATCTGTAATATACAAATATTCGTATTAGTAGCTTATGTACGTTATGTTTTCTTATGTGTTTATATTGTTATTTGTACTTACTCTGTGTAGGCTCCCTGTGTGTGTGGCGCTGCTTATCTTTACTACATGTGCTGTCTGATGTATTGTGTGCTGTGTTTTATGTTGGTGAGTGCGCTCTTTGCCATGTGTTATTAGGGAGATTAAAGCAAGGGGAGTAAGATGGGCAAGATATATGGCACACAGTAATAACCACTGTAAATTAGTTCTATTAGCAACAGGTTTATATCTGTGTTGTGTAAAAAGCAAGGTTCTATCAAAAGGAACATGTATTAAAACTACAGTTTATACCTGACCCATTTAACTTCACTATTGGAGTCAGTGTCTCTTTGATGATGATCAAGTCATGCAGGCAGGCATTTGTTATACTTTACTACCAGGGTGCTATAAGTGTTAGTGGCTAGTGCATCATGATGAACAAGAGGCCATTAATTGGTTGCAGAATAATCTTGATTACAGAGTTGCATCTACAGGTACCAAAGGGAAATTTAGTACACTGTGATAAATAATTTTTCACATATGAATTTTTCTAGTTTGAACTTAAAAAGACACTTTACTATGCAAATCTTAGTATCTTAAGACATTTTTCTATATGATTTAAATTTCACTGTTTTAGTCCTGGTTGTAACTGAATGTTTTTCTGTTAAACAGCGATTTCAAAATAATTATTGACTACAGATGAATTTGACAGAATATTGCTGATAACTACAAAAAAATTGTACTCAAGACCACTGTTTAAATTTGTAGTGTAAAATATTAAGCATTGAATCTGACTGTCTGTAATCTCACTGTTTAGTGTCTAATGGCTATGTCCAGTGGAGTTACTGGTTTTACTGTTCTTGGTCTCTCATGAACCTGAAAACACCTTAGATTAATGAGATTGAGATATAAAATATTTCGTAGCATATCCAGCTACATTCTGATTGGTTATGTATCAGTCACCCATAGGATCAATATACCATTTGCTGATTGCTGTCTTTAATTTCCCAGAAAAGAAAATGCCTAAATACTTTGTGTTATTCATGTTTTCTGTAAAAGGGTTATGTACCTATTGCATGTCTGATCAGCTTTCCCCTCCTAACAAATTTACAATAGCGATTTTTCATCCCTTGTCCTCTATCTTTTAGAAGGCTTGGAGTCACTTTGACTTCATCTTTTAGGGAGATCTGTAGTTGTTAACAAAAAGTTTTTTTTTATTATTGCTAGTTGGGTGGGACTAAGGCCCTTGCACTGTGTCCACTTCTGGTCTATTGTACCAGGCCCAGATGATAGGTGAGGGTGATTGTGGAGCAATTGTTGGAATGAAGATTGGCAAGGGAAACCAAAGTACTCAGAGAAAACCTGCCCCAGCTACACATTGTCTACCACAAATCCCACCTGGGATCGAACCTGGCCGCCACGATGGGAAGTCAGCAACTAACCACTTGAGCTATGGTGCGGCCAAGTTTTTTGTTAGTGTCAGTGGAAGGATATTGGGTACCACATGCATTTTGTAACTCATGTGCCTGTAACACACCAGTCATGGATAGAGGCAATACAATATTAGCAATTTGTTTCCTCTTTCCATGATGGGACTAAGGGAAGATTATCAGTATATTCAACCTCTTTATTATATCCGTCACAAAACAACTAATATCAAGATCAGACCATTTTCGGCCCTGCTACATGTTTCGGCTGTTGATAGCCATCATCAGGCAAACACATGATTTACACACACATACACATCACTGAACCGCAGCACCAACAAAATTGGATACAATATTATTAAAATATGTAAAAAAAACTTGACATAACAAATACAATAAATCAAGTTATATAAAACAGAATTATGATATAAAATAAGAATAAAATTCTTTTGGTGTTTTTACATCAACATGTCAGTCATTGGTTTGTGATTTGTTTTTTCTTTCGTTCCCACGGATAAGTTGGAATATTCATACTTATGCGTATATAAAATTGTGTATGAGGGTCATAATGTAGATGTAGTAAAGTAAATTATAATATTAGTCTCACAAAGTATTGTCCGTACTGTAGGGAATGTAAACAATGACTTATCTGTGGGAACAAAATTAAAAACAAATCACAAACCAACGACTGACACGTTGATGTAAAAACACCAAAAGAATTTTATTCTTATTTTATATCTTAATTCTGTTTTATATAACTTGACTTATTGTATTTTTTACGTCAAGTTTTTTTTATATATTTTAATAATATTGTATCCAATTTTGTTGGTGCTGCGCTTCAGTGGTGTGCCTATGTGTAAATCATGTGTTTGCCTGATGATGGCTATCAATAGCCGAAACATGTAGCAGGGCCAAAAATGGTCTTATCTTCATATCAGTTGTGTTGTGATGGATATAATAAAGAGGTTGTACATTGTAACACAACAGGATGCATGAAATGAAAATTATCAATATATTGACCACAGTTAAATCTTCATCTTCTAAGTCACATACGTTTGACTGAAACATTACAGGTTCAAACTTGATTATTTCTTTTTGATAAATAGTATGACAGATGAACATTTTATGGAAATTTTGTCATCCATTTATACCATTCTGAATGGGCATATTATGTGTTGTTGTTCACAGTGATCGACAAGAGAAGGTGGTGGACATACGTCAGAACATCCATGAGTCTATGTATGACCTTCTGACTAACATGTCAATATTGGAACCTCCAGTTTGTCTTGCTGATGATGCAAATGAGATTAGTGCTTCCTACATTCGAAACCTGGGACCAAAAGAACCTTTATCATACACCCAAGTGAGTTGATGGTGGGCACTTTACTTTGTTCGTTTGATTTATTTTGTGTTCCTTTTGTGTTCTGTTTCTTGTCATTTTCTGGCTTAACCTGAGCCTGTAGATTAAGAGGCTTGCCTTCTCAGATAGCATACAAGATGGAAATGAAAAATGTATGAATATATATGTATATATTTATGGTTGAAAATCTGCAAGGGAACAGGTCACTTGGAACACATATTTATAGATGGGAGATTGTTTTTAAAATGGATCTTGTAGAAAAAGGCGTGATGATGTGAACTGAACTAAGGTTTGAATCTTTTTGCTGATACAAGTTTTCAAGAAATATTATGCTTGTATCCTGTAAAACTGAGTTTTGCACCATTGAATTCCATGTTCAAGTAAAAATTAGTGTAAAGGCTCCCACACACAGACGCGATACTCAGCTCGGTACGGTACGGGACGATATCTAATTACATTGCGGTAAATGGAGGTCCGCACACTGGCGCGGTACTCCGAGGAACGCGATATTATCACAGTCGGTATATCGCCTCGGTATTTCGGTCTACCAAGCGCACTCGGTATCACAGCGGTAAATAGTCATGGATGCGTCTTTGGAGGAAGAAGTTTTGCTTTTAGCTGTCGCTCTTGATGAAGACGAAGGTGAATCCCGGTATTTTACTGAACACTAAATCTGCGTAGTTCTTTCTTTTCCTCCACATATTCAGTATGTCACATATATGTACAAATATTTACAATTCCATAACAGTCTCTAATTAAGTACGTATAAGTGGTTGCTATGTGTGTTCCTATTTTAGGTGAAAGAGATGAATCTGTTGGGTTCATGATATAAACTTGTCAAGAGAGGAACTGGGGGAGTTTTATACGCTGATACCCCAAGTCCTGAAGGACGAAAAATGGTTCTACATATATTTCAGGATGAATATTGACAGGTTTGATGAAATCCTGAGAGCCATCAGGCAAGATATCACTAAACAATATACCAATTGGCGGAGGCCTGTTCTTGCCATGAAGTGGAGGATTTTTTTGAGACCCATAGAACTGAAAGGAGGAAATATAAAACACATTGTATCAGCAGCGTGTTTGCTTCATAATTTTCTACGTCTCAAAATCTGTGATGAAAAGTACAGGGAAGAACTGCTACGAGTGGAGCCACTAGAAGGAGAAATGTTCCCTATCCAACCTTTACGTCTCCCAAGGGCGGCAAACGTTAGCTACGCCATTAGAGAGCGGTCTGTTGCGTACTTTAACTTGATGACTGCCCCTGGAATTAGTGTTACTGAACGGAACTGGTGCATAGCCTACATTAAGAATGTCCACAGTTACTGTATACTTAACCCTATAAAATATACACAGATTTTTCTACTTGCTGTCTCTGTTCATTGTAACAGCTAATTCCTTCCACTTTCTATCCTTAGCACGTGAATCCTTGAATATCGGATGATGAGTATCGTACAATAAAGCATTTTCTTTGACGAACTCTATTATTTGTTCCATTTGGCTACCCATGTCGTTTCACGTACGTATAGATACTGATTGAGTGTGAGTCATGGCCAGCTGGTTATCGGGTGTCAAAGATTCCCGAGTGTCGCGTCTGTGTGTGCGGCCCACTCGGTAAACAACCGCTTTTGTCCCGAGTGCTATATCATCCCGAATCGTATCACGTCTGTGTGTGGGAGCCTTAACCATCAAATATAACTGTAATGACATATATTGTCAAAAGTCATTTGTAGAAGCAGAAACATGTTACACAGAATTCAGTATATTGTAATAGAGGCAACATTTTACAATATAAGTTATCATAGTTATATTTGAAGGTTATACTGATTTTCACTTGGATTAAACTGGCTCAGAATGGGGTCCAGCATTGGGATGTTGTGACCATGATGCTTCACAAAGCAATATGAAAGGAAAAAATTCTTGACCAATGCAATACTCTATACCATGAATTTTGTAATTGATTGAATTACCTATCCAGCATTTAAAAGAGACTGTATTGCTTTTCTGCATGTCATATACCTGTATTTTGAGCCTAATAGAATATTAATTTTTGTCATTATATTATCCTTTTTTAAGCTGTGAACTTTGTTCCTAATGCCAATTTTTTCATAAAGTGTAGAAGTAGCCACTGTAGCATGGGAGTCAAATCAGAATGGTTGTCAGTGAGTAAGATTTACCCTGGTTTTCATTTTTCTCTTGAAATGTTATTACCTGTATTTTTCATGTACATGGCTTAGCATTTAAAATGCTTCCCAAAATAACAGGCACATATTGTGGTAAAAGTAAAAAAAGTAATCCCTGTAACGGGCCGTGGAGGCCCATAGGGTAGTGAGATGTTGAGGTTTCCACATTTTCTAGACAGTCGACTCATACATGGCAGTAAGGTTGTCAGCCTTACATGGCGGCTGTCTTTACCCCGAAGAATATTCCAAGGATATTCCTGGTACTCATTTCTGTTAGAGGCTGAGTTGACCCAGGGTCATAATATGGCTGGAAGGATTAGGTAAATTGAAAAAATCCACCTCATCAGGATTTGATCCCATGACCTTCTGTCTTGTAACATAGTGCCTCAACCAACTACACTACCACGTGCCCCTTACATACTATGGTACAGAAACAAAATCAGAAGCTGTCCCCCCACTGTTCAGGATTCTCCAAATTTTCTCATTATCCTTAAGTCAATGTCACCTGGTTGCTATGGTGCTGCTTTTGGCATTACAGTGAAGTAAATCATGTGCTGCTGTAGCATTTACTAATGTGTTCCCTGACAAGGAAGTGCCAAGTAAGACAATAGTATTGATTTCACCTGTAAGCTGGTGTACGCTGTTGTAGTTTGGGTTAGATTTTAAATGATACACCCTGTGTTTTCAGAATAGATTGTGCTTTAAAAAAATGTTTCTAGATTTTAATGAGAAATACATTTTAAGTTGTTTGGTGGCCCAAGAAACTTCCTTCTTAAATCCCTTCAGTATGTCTGTGAACTTTGTCAGTGCCTAATCCTCCTCATATTCGTAATTTTGTAAGATTTTTGTGTGACATGTGTGCAAATGTCCTCCATGCTAGAAGCTTTAAAAAGGAAAGGTACTTTATGTCACTGCTGAACCAAAAAAGTGAGTATTTTATTTTAAAACGTTCTGTCATAACTTCATCTATTTGCAGAAATGAGGGTTTAAAATGATGCAGTAGAGAGCAGATAACTGCTTTTTACATTTTACTTCCTTTTATCCCCAAAATTAGGCTAGTTTTACATTTCAGACTGTCACATCCATTTTCATTTGTTTGGTTATGAAATTGCATCTCTTGCATTCTGGGCATCTTCCTTTACTTAACTGTCAGGAGGAAGAATTTTTATGCAATAGATGGTACTGTTGAAAACTGTAAATTATGTTTGTTGTTTTGGTTGAATATATTCCTATTTTCTATACTGTAGGAATATTTTGACCATGTGCACACTTTGTGGAATGATAAGGGTGTTAAGGAATGTTACCGAAGATCTAATGAGTTCCAGCTTATTGATAGTGCAAAGTAGTGAGTATTGATTACAATTTTTTCTTTTTCTTATTTCTCTGGTTAAGACAAAAATACAGCTTGCTGTACTTTTTTGATAATAATAATAACTTTAATTTCTGTTGATATATTCTGAACCATATGCATTAATTTTTTACGTGTCTCTGTGTGGATTTGTTTGTCTTGCTTAATTTGGTTTATTTATTTTATTTGTGGTTTATTTAATGACTTTGTCATTATCTTATATAGCATTGGTTACTAGAATGATTAATGAACAATAAATCGGAAGTAAGCGGTTGTGGCT